GCCAGGTCATCCTATTAAAGGGCCAAGAAGACTGTGAATCTATAAATAGATCTGATTACCAAGAGGAAGGGTAAACTTTTAAGCGTTTTAGCTTCTGCATTTGGCAGTAACTGATTTTACCGTTAATCTCTGCAGCCTAGCAGCTTCATGGATGTCTATTTTTCATTACTTAAATTTGCTCTTCAGCAATATTTAAGGAACACAATACAAATATATGCAAGAACTTTAACTGCTTACTGTGGCTAAAGGATATAAGAGGAAAAAGAAATCCTGAGGTCAAATACACAATACAAAATGCACAGACTAATGTCAAAATCTCTTCAAAGCAACATGCAAATGCAAATTTTAAGCACCAAGAGTTGTCACTTGGCTCCTGAAATCCTCATCTCCTTCATTTGCCCTCAGATTGTGTTCAATTTTAGTTCACAATGTATTTTTTTTCCAGAATGCTAGCCTGTCATACCCAAAAATTTGGGCTGAGACATTCTATTTTAGAATGCCATTTTTTCAGTCTTACACTTAAATTTACAAGATCAGAACCCAGCATGTTAAATCTACATAAGCTACAGGGCTAGTTAAGAGAGAATTTAATGCTGCAAAGAGCTCAACTTCCTTATTCCATTATGATCTGCTTACTGAGTCTAAAAGACACATGTTTCATTAACTCACTTAAAGGTTTTAGTTCAAAGCAATTGCACAGCTTTTAATTTCTCATTTGAAACTGCATGTAATTCATGGGTTGGATAAAGTAATATTTCAATTATATGAGTAAGATGCAAACATAAAATAAGATACAGATATCTGATATGAATAACTATTGACTTTGGTGATGGTATATAATAGAGAAACTGAATACCACATTTGCCATATTCCAATAAAACAAGGAAAGTTATAAAAGGAAATTGACAGGGAAACATTTATATTCACCAATACACAGCAATATTAAATAGACTTTGAAAAATGTTGAAATTAAAAATATATAAATTGTTAAAGTCACACAATTTCACTCCAAATTCAGTGAGAAGTACAAATGAATATACTGCAAAGAAATATTGTTCTTGTTCTGATGACAAGTAGCTTGAACACCTGATATCTATCATTTTGGGCCTCTAATTATTCAAAAGAAGGTGTCTTATACATAAGGAAAGATATCTTTCTACACTCTTTCAATAATGATTAATAACAGGCAGTAAGAAAGAAAAGCTTTAGAAAATGACTGTTGTTCATTATCAGTTCAACTCTAACTCATTATCAAAATGTCCATCTTAAATTATGCATAGATGGCCATGCAAAACTGAATTAGGATGTAGTGCTTGGTGAATCTGTCCTTCTGTTTCCATGGAAACAGATGCTGGATTGCATTTCTTTAAGGCTAGTTTTAAAGTGGAAAACTACAGCACATTAATACTCCAGAAAGCTCAGAAGTTAACATATCTCATAAATATATCAGGTTTTTCAAACAGCAGTTATAGCCTACCATATAACACATACAGGGCATCTTTCATTTCTACTGAATTTCTTGTCAGATTCTCTCTTGCCATACCCACCCCACATCCCTATTTTGGTAGAAAGGCTTAAGAGTAAAGGTCTTTCCTTATTTGACTTTGTATTCTCAACATATAACAAAGGTTTCAGTTTGATATGGTCTGAATGCATTCATCCAAAATTCATGTTGAAATCTAATCCCTATTGTGGTAGTATTAAGAAGTGGGGCCAAGAGGACCAGTGCCCCAAGTGATAACATGTCTAAATATGAATCAGGAGATTCAAGAGATGGAGACGACTTTTGGGAAGTGTTTAAGTTATGAGGGCTTCATCCTTATGAATGGGATTGGTGCCTTTATAAAAGAGGTTGAAGGGAGCTGTCTTGGCCCTTGTCCATGTGAGAATATGTCATTTGCCTCTTTTTCCATATGAAGACTTAGCAACAATGTGCCATCCTGGAAGCAGCCAGCCTTTACCGACACTATATTGGCTGGCACCCTGATCTTGGTCTTCCTAATTTCCAGAACTGTGACAAATAAATTTCTATTATTTATAAATTACCCAATCTAAGGTATTTTCCCATAGCAGCCCTACTGGACTAAGACATCACAAGTTCCCTTTTTATGTTTATTAAATGGAGATGAGTTTTCACTGTGCTGCCCAGCTGATCTTGAATTCCTGGGCTCAAGCCATACTACTGCCTCAGCTTCCTGAATAGCTGTGACTACAGGTGTATGCCAACACACTCAGCTTCAAGCTCTCATTTAATAAAAACATTTAGAATGATTAAAATGTAATTAAATCATCTATTTCTCCCTCTAGTTATAAAAAAAAAAGTGAGCTTTAGTGTTGGACTAGCATGTAATTTATCCTAACTTCAAGAGTTAACTAGCTGTGTGACCTATAGGCCAAGCACATGAACTTTCTGTGTGTCAGTTTCCTTATTAACTCTGGGATAATAACAAAACCCAAGTCATGAAAGTTGTTCTAATTTTTATGCAATTCATATAAACCACCTAGAATAACTGTTGGCATAGGAAATCAATAAATGGTAGCTATAATTATTATAACTATAACTACTGGTGTGCTACTATTCTTGCTAGGCATTGGGCTAGATGTTTTATGTCTTCAGTCATCACTATAACCCAGTGATGACTGAAGACATATTATCTTTATTCTGTTCACAGACGTAGTGAGGAGGACACTTAATGCCACTTGAAATGAAAGCTGTAAGGCTAGGATTTGAACTTTCCTATGCTTGATTTCAGGGACTGGAAATTTTTCAATACACCATACTGTCTCTTTTAGATACTATGAAAGGCTCAATTCCTCTCTTTAAAATCTTTTCACAAACTATTTCTACAGATTAAAATATGGCCACTTAATCCATTGTAGAAAATAGCTAATTTGAAAGCAGTAGTTTACAAAGGAATTTGCCCACACTATATTTTTACTTTTTAGAAAGTGAATTAGGTTTTCTTGATGGAGTGCAGGACAGCATAAAATTTGATTTTTAACTTGGAAGTAAACATTTAGTTGTTACAGAGCCCTGAGTCTTTCTCAGGAATCACCTTGGTGGCCACAGAGAATTTCCAAAAGTCCTCTTTGCTTATTTCTGTCCTGTGATAGCTCCTGGTCATTCCTCCTTTTAGAAAAAGAAATCGATGTTTACTAATGATTTGGGTCCATTGACAACAGTGACAGACATATTTTATAATAAGAATAGAGAAACTCCCTTTTTCTGAGGATACAGTTAGGTTCATGAATGTTCAAACAAATTTTTGATAAACTGATAAGGGTATTAGATATTTTATTGGAGATCTTCAGTGGTTTATAATAACTAACATGCAAGGAGTGCTCTATTTTTAAAAGCACTGTCATATATTTTCTGCATTAAATATAAATCCCTGTGAAATCAGTGACAACATGAGGATGTTACATATTTGTAAGCAATAGCAACAATATCCCCTCTCCAATAAAAACAAAAAAAACAAACCAAAAAAAAAAAAAAACCTGAGGCACAGGACTAAGTGACTAAAGTCACATTTAGAAAGTGGTAAAATAAATGTTATTACACATGAATTTTTTTACATTATTCAGATTAAAGTTAAATATATGTAAACCAAGCTCTATATTTACATGACAAATGAGAAAGTGGAGAATTGGACAATAGGGCATGAATATGGAACATAAATCTGTTGCTAAAAACAATTCAGCTAGGGCTCCAGTCATCTCAAGTATTGTTTTTCTTTAATTTGCTCAAGTTAATTGCTAGTAAGGTATGTTTATAACGTTTAAGAACAGTAAGGCAGATGACCCAAAACAGTATAGATTGAACCAAATAAATTTTCAGATATTCTTATCACTATGACCTACAACAATGGCATTTTAATACTAAGAGCATGCTTACTTGATAATTATTTCCTAAGCGCATTATTTGTTGCTGCTGGAATGCTTTAATCACAACTGATATTAAGGTAGCTTTGATTCCTATTAAGTGGAAAATTATCAATATGGAAGATATAACTCATAAAGGAAATATAATTCTTATTTTGACCAATTGAGATACGTATATATGATATATAGGAATATATTATATATAATCATATCTATGTATGACTATAGGATTATATATAATTATCAATCTATGTGTATGAATATATTATATATATACTATACATACATTATATACATGCTCAGTTATAATAAAGTTTTTATTTAGAAATACATAAATTATGTTAAACATACATTATGTACATGTTTGTATAGTTATAATGAATCTTTTATTTAGAAATACTTTTGTATTATTTAGAAAAGAATGGTGCAGATCCATGATTTTCATAGTGTCTTAAAAGACTCAATACCACTTTCGGAATAATATCAAGATATTACTTGCAGCTTTCACTTTCACTTTCTCCTGAGCGTACAGTTTTCTAGAGGCTATTGTAATTGTCTGTCTTGTATAACAACAGAATGAATATCAAAGCACATATAACAATCCAGCTATCTTCTATTAAGCCAGTCATTAATGCAATTTACAAAAATATAATCAATGGCAGTCTCTTATCATTACTTGACTTTGCTTGGAAAAATATATTTACTTTTCAAAAATACGTTAGTAACATGTAATTGTTTATTATATAATGTTTAATTAGTAGAGAAATGGGTTTTAAAGTCCTCAGTTTTAATTTAAATACAGTAAAAATAATGTAACTCACATGAACAAAAGGTCTTTGGAGTTCACAGTAAATTTTAAGAGGGTAAATGACCAAAAGCTTTAGAACTGTTGGTAAAAACATATTTGTTGTTGTTGTTGTTCAATCTTAAAATTTCCCCTCATTTTTATGATTTCTTATGATGAAGACTTCAGGGTCCTTGAAACATGAAAGTTATTTAAAATGATCTAATTAAAAATCCCTTACAGCATTTTCATAACATAAAAAATACTGAGCTCCTTAGAAATTGCTCTGTTTGGAAAACATATTTTTAACTTAACCAAAGTAAATAATTCATACCTCACCAAGTGAGTAATAACGTCTTGGGATCTGGGAGTCCGGATAGATGTTTTCTAGGTACCAAGAAAAGGGCTTACACTTCAGATTTTCTCTTAGTGTTTTTCTGACTGACACATCTCCATAATCCACTTTGACAACACCTGGAATTTTTCAGAGAAACACAAATCAGTTTGTGCTATTTTTGTTTTAGTACTGTTTCACTCCATTTACTTTGCTATCAGTTTTTTTCTTTATAATTCCAGCAAATTCAATTGCATATGCAGCTGCTACTACACTAGATTTTTACTACCATCCAATTAGTACATTAAATAGATATAAATAACACTTCTTCCATTGGTTATGACTTTTCAAATGCAAATATTTATCATCAAGTACTTGTACTACTTAAATTGAATAATTAACTAAATTTAAATTGGTATTAATTTAGTATCTCATAATCAAAGCTTAACTGAGCTGGATAATGTGTCTGTTTCTCCTTAATAAAAAATTCTAGTATCTCCAATGTTTTTGTTAATATTCATACTTTCCTTATAGTCACTTATTCACCACCTGTATATTTTATGAGAAATTTAAATAAATATAATTCATATAACAGGCTGCACGTGTTCTTTTTCTTGAACTTTTATCTTTTACCATAAACCTATTTTCTTATTGATAAATTGAGTTATTCTAAGCTACCCCAGTCCTTAAAATAGTAAATATGTAAGCGTAAATAAACTAACAGGAATATATTCACATGTATATATGAAAATTGCTTAATTTTATTTCACAGAGTATTTGACATTTAAAGGATTATTTCTACTGAAAATCATTAAATAATGCTTTCTAGTTGGGAAATAATAATAATGCTACTAATTTTTATATAAAACACGATGACTTGATTTATTCTTTATTAATAATAAAACTGACATTTGATTGAAATAACTAAGAACTGTGACAAGAAAGCAATTAATTCTTATTCTGAAAATATTTCAATGTTGAACTCTTTTCTTTAAGGCCATTATGGAACACACTGGCACAAATGGCCTAGTATTTAAGATATTCTATCCTAACCAAGTAACAGAGTCAATGAATTGTTCCCTAAAATAGGAGCAAGTGTTTAGACAATCTATGTGTCTGTAACTAATGCCATTACCAAGCCACTATTTTCCAGAGCAGCAACACTCTCAAAACTCATCACTCACTAGCTCCAAACCCCCGTCTCTTCAGAATTCACATTTTTTTCAAAATTAAATGCCATAGTGTTGATAGAAAGCATTTTGATGATGAAGCAGCCAAACCACTTCCTTCCAAAAGAAAATATTGATTTTCCTAGCTGGACAGAAAACAAGGTCTCTGGACTTTCTAAACAGATAAATATTTGCTTTCAAAATAATTCTATTCAGAACTCCCAATCTGGAATGCAACCTTCAAAATAAGAGACTCAAACCAATTTAGTATTTACAAAATAAATCACTAGAATTTCTCATTATGTTAAGTACTATTGCAATTGAAATAATTGAATACGTAGTTCTCAAAATCACATACAGAGATGTCATTGTGCCTTGTGGGGAGAAGAAACACTATCTTCAGAGAACTTAATTCAACAATTTTGCTATTCTGTTTTCATTTTTGAGGTGGGTAAATTTAATTGAGGTGGCCTAATATCACCGTCATGAAATATTTTTCTTTTGACTCTTCCCCAACTTCTTAAAATTAGATCTTGAGTCATTAAAAAATGGACAGCAAGCTAGTTTTGCATGGGTCATAGTGGCCAACCCCTCCTCTAAAAGATAAAGTCCTAGAAGGGTTTTATGAGCAGTTATCTGATTGAAATAAATATTTAAAGTTTCATTTGCATATCATTTTACATAAGGTCAGAGGAAACATTAATTGCTCACTTCAGATTTGACAAAAAGTGGCTAGTGGAGAATTATAGAAATTACTAAATAAAGCAAAAACCTTCTTACCTTGCCACCCTAAGTCATCTCTTGGCATTTCCATTGCAACTTGCTTTTGTTCTAATCCTAGATAATTATGCTAAATTACCTTTAAGAACACACAAAGCTACTGTGGGCTATCTTAACATTTTGGTGAGAATGGCTTTTTCTCTCTGAATCCCTATTTTTCTTCTTAGAAGTGAGATATATTAAGAGACAGCAGTCCTCACAGACACTCCATGTACTCCACATTTCTCAGGGCTCTGCAGTTAGGTAGGGACATCTAACTGGTTCTGGCCAATAAACTGTGAGAGAAAGGGGTTATGTCACTTCTGAGGGATAGCAGGAGATGGGAGGATTGGGGAGGGACAACATTAAGAGAAACACCTAATGTAGATGATGGGGGAATGGATGCAGCAAACCACCATGGCATGTATATACCTATGTAACAATCTTGCACGATCTGCACATGTACCCCAGAACTTAAAGTATAATAATAATTTTTAAAAAGTTAGGAAAGTGAATATGAGAGCTTTCTTTCCTTTACCACAGGAACTGAGGAGGACTTGTATCCCAGTGGGTGCAGTTATAAGATGGTGAGTCTTTTCTTGTACTGTATGATTTAGTGGCCGTAAAGTAGTGTCAGAATTAGATTATTCAGATCCATGGTTTGATATGTAATCTCACTTGTTCCCCAAACTCTTACCTCTAATTCAAGCCTCTTCAAAGTAGGTTATCCAACTGTTTACCCAACAGTTTTATGTATACTAGCCATCTCAAAATTGACAAGTCAAAAATTTGATTCTCCAATTTCCTCCACCTCCAAGGTTCTTCATTTCAGTAACTAGCACAAATATCTACTGATTTTCTCAAGGAAAAATAATTTTCTTTCCCTCACACATATACATTTTTAACTCACTAGCAATTTCTGTTGGCTCTACTTCACAATATATTTTCATCCACTCTACTGTTAACCATCCTGGTCTTAACTTCTCCCATCTCTTGCTTACACTAGCATTGCAATATTCTCCTAACTAGTTCCCAAAACATTTTACATTTCTCTACCTACATTTTATTCAATATTGCATGTTCCTTAGATAATACATTTAAAATACAACTCAAATCATGTCACTCTCCTGCTCAAAAGTATACCGTGATTTTCCATAATACTAAGAATAATTGAGTATCTCTTAAGTATTGCCTGAAGAACCTTCAGAAAATAGCTCTTGGCTAGCTCTTTGAATTCATTTATACTCACTTTGAAACCAGCCCAGTTGCCCACAGAAGTGATGTTTATGGTTTCTTTTGAATAAACATGAAAAAAATGGCCCTCCTGGTCTTGAAACTTGAGAAAATTACGTTTGTCTTATCTAATTTCCATGCTCAGGAAACTAACCAGATAGTATCATGGAAATGAAACTTACGAGATCACCATATCCGGACAGAGAGACATCAGACCCCTTCACCTGTCATGATTGCCTAACCACCTGTTTTTTGTTGATTAATTCCTCTTCCTTATTCCCCCCTGATTCCTAGTCTCCCATACATGGTTACATTTCTTTCCTGCTATATCAACCCCTAATTTTAGTCAGTCAAGGAGATGAATTTGAAACTGATTTCTCATCTCCTTGGATGCAGCACCCTATAAAATCCTTCTTCTCTGTAAATACTGGTTATATTGGTGAATGGCTTTCTGTGCAGCAAGCAGCAGGATCCAGACAGAACCCCTTGTGTTTCAGTAATATCTTCATTCTAGCCACACTGTTGTTTTTTTTATTCTTAGCTTTTCTTCAAACATGGCAAGTTCATTCATAATTCAACAATTCAAGGCTTTATGCTTCTCTTTTTTTCTGTCTGGAATGGTGTTACCCTGCAACTTCATGAGATGGCCTTCACTTAGTCCAAGTCTTTGCTCAAATTTTACTTCTTCAGGTTTATTCCTATCAAAATTGATCCCTTTCTCTGATCTTCCTGGGTCTTTCTCTATCTCTCTATCCTGTTCAATTTTTTTTCCCATGGCACTTATTGTTGTCTGATACCATATTGTAGATCACTTTTGCTCATTGCCTTCTCAACAAAAACTCTGGATATTTCCTTTCTTGAAGGATAAGGTAACCTACCTGATAATCTCTTACAACATACTGTGAATACTAAATAATGCCTGGAAAATGCTTAGTATAATAACTGGCATGTAATAATTGCTTAATACACATGGTAAATTGCAGTGGATAGCTGTTGTTTTGCATGCCTGACATCCATTCTGTCTTCTGGTAAGAGTATTTGGGTTTTCTCTAGGAAACCATTCCTACTTCACTTTCAGCTTAGGTGGAGCTGGTTTCATTGCTTTCCCCACTCTCTTCCAGTTCCATCTGTGGGCACAGACTAAAGGCACATCACCAGAAAATCTAGTTAAAATGCAAATGTATTCAGTTGGTCTGGAGGGGGTGCCTTAGGGTCCATATTTCTAACAAGCTCCAAAGGATCCTACTTTTGCTCACTCCAGACTTTGATTAGCATCTAAAACAACTAGAGCATTCTATTTCTCAATCTTATATATAACCCAGATAACAATGACTGACTCAAGAATGGGCAAATAAACCAGTCAGCCTAATAAAAGTATACTTTTGAGAATATACTAGGACTCTTAGAAAGTTGAAACTATTTCCTCTGGAACTAGGTAGCTGTATAGATGAGTTAAGCCTGGAGTTTTTGGGGCCACCATATAAAAAAAGGGCTATGAAAGTGACACCAATATAGAAGTAAGATAAATCCACATATGGAAAAATATAAAGTATGAGGGTAAGAGAGAAGGCTATCTAAAGATAGAAAGCAGAGGCCAAGCCAAGATTAAGGTAACAGATATCTGTTGTGGTCAAGTTTTGCACAGGGAACTTTTCTAGGCACTGGGGATATATCTGTAAATAAAACCAAATTATCTTCCTCCATGGAGTTTACATTCTACTGGAGAGGAAGCTAAATAGTAAAGACATTAGAAGGTGATACATGCTTTGGAAAAAAAATTGTAAGTTTTTAAGGCAAGTCTTTCAATGGGACATTCATATAGAGTATGAACAAAAGAGTATTTTAATTAACTCCAGGTCCACAGGTTTCATTAACAGCTAAATGATAAAATTTATGGGTTGCTCTATTTTCTAAATAAGCTGTCTATTCATTTAATCAAGCTAAATGCCCATCAATGATAGACTGGATAAAGAAAATGT